TATTATTATATTATTTTTTATAAATAACAATTATTAGAAATTCAGTATAATATACATTGAATGCAATATTCAATTGTTTTTTTAAAATAGTTAATGATACCTATACAAAATTTTAATAGTTCTGAAGTGTTATAAATTAATATTATTATATTAAAGTATAAAAAAGTTTCAATAATAATAGTACTAATATATTATATTATTTTGGATTTAAATTTGTATGCTTTTTTGAATTTTAGTTTCTGTAGTGGTGGATTTTTTTTATAAATAATGATTAAATTAAGTTTAGATAACCAAATTAATAAGCTTATTATATTATAAATTAAAATTGTTKTTGTTAATTAAATGAGATTATTCTCAAAACTTCAAGTCAGAATATTAAAAATAAACGTTTCAAACAGTGTTAAAAGTTAAAAGATTAATGATAAACCCATAATAATGAAACACCCCATTAATAAATAAATAATACATATTCAATTTATTAACTGGTTTTTTTTATATTAAATTTATTATAATATGCTTCCTTTAGTTGCGCTCGAGTTTTTTTTTTTAAAGWCTTTATTTTAATAAACATTATTCGCATGTTCCTATATATATTACCAACACAAAACAAGGAAATATTATGTGTCAAATTACTACGTTAGTCGTTTTTCTTATACTAAAAGAATACTACAGGATCTTCTATATATAGTGGATGTATGCAGAGATGGCCAACATTTTAGTAGACTTTTGATCGACCTCTGAGTTTTTCTATAGGCTGTTKCGATCGACCAAAACACAAAAAAAGGTTGGCAATAAACAAAAAACATGCATGTTACACTTACTTTTATTTAGAAAATTGTTATTTATTAAGTAATGATAACGTTTCATTTCACAGTTTTACACAAAAAAATAACAAAAATAATCATTTATTTGATTTCTGAAAAAAAATACAAAAGGGAGTCGCGATCGACCTGTTGGCCATTATTTATATATATATGATATACACCTGATAGCTAATGTATAGTTAAACGTATCTGCAGCCTGCTTCGTACATTAGACATACGCACACTAATATTATAATATAATGATTAAGAAAATGTGTTTAAAATAAATATTTTCTATAACAATGGTGTACTACTGTATAGTAGTGGCATAATCCCTTAATTCAACTGGTTTCCAAAAACATATTATTCGTGTGGCACTCGGTAATTGTGTGTTACTAAAAAGTGACGTACTCATATAATAGCCGATCCATGCTATAGAATATTTTAATGAATCGGGCAAAGCCATATGGTTACAGGTTTCGTCGTTTCATTGGGTAATGAGCCAGCGGTCGTTTTAGAGCCTCCGAGCCAAAGACGTAGGACATTCGTCGTCGGCGCGAAAACCATGATTTTTTTATTTATTTCATTTGAATTGCCCAGGAGCAATTTGAGTTTTTTTTTTTAAACATTTGATCAGTCTAAACACTATGTAACAGTGAGCTACTTACTGTTCGGGCCGAATAATTTGTAATAATATAGTTCAGTAAACACCGCATAAATTATAGCTATTAAAGAGGATTTATTTTGTCTGTTATTAGTTTGGCGTATAATATTGTATTTAAGTTTCGGATAGGTTATTTGGATTTCAAATGAAACGATTTTGTAACTGTAGAATATAAATGAGAGTAAAAAAATATTATTTGATTAGAATTCAAATCCGTGAGTTTACATTTTACGCAGTACAAGATATGCACGTGAATTCAAGTATCATCATAATATGTATACGTATTATACCTATATAGTATAGTATTATATCGCTATATTATTTATTATGTTATGAAATTATGGTAACCACGTAGTTATGTAGAAGCTATTAACAATTTGTCAAACCCAACGAATACGTTTATGATTTCGAAAATCCGTTTCAAAAACACTTTTAAAATTAAATATATTTAACCTTTMACTATTAGCTTGTTGATCATTGTTCCCTTCTAGTTTTAAATGCCACCTGTGTTAATTAAAGTACGCCCACMGGGCACGAACCATTTCCTTAATTATCTAACGCGTAAACTGAACTTTTAAACCAACAGTTTGGCTCTCTTTTGTTATTCACATGGATGCATGAAAAATCATTAGGTACTGACTGAAAAAGAAATCCATAAATAGAGTTACCAGGTATTTATTTTGGTTTTGTTCGAAAAATAATTATTGTTGATATTTTCTCAGATGTCATATATATAATATATATATATTTTGAAATTTAATTCATAATACCTTGAGGTTTTTTTTTTAATTATTTAATTTTAGACTCTAATTATTTACTTTGACACACGTTCAGAATAGAAATTCTTACTGTATTATTACCTTTTAACCTTACTACACAAATGCAGTAGCAAGTACACATACAGAGTATTCCGTATATGGCGTGTAAAAAATGTGTATCACGCTCTTCGATTCTTAGTATGTATTATATAATATTAYACACGATATAGGTATTACCAATTATATTGATAGCTAAAAATCGTAATTAATTAACCCACGGACATCGTTGATTTATTTCAGTTATTGGAGCTATTGAACTTATTTAGGTAGATACCTATCTACAATAATATATATATATAGGTAGGTTAATATCGTAAAAAAATCAAATAATATATTGCATTAAAAATGCTATGGGTGGTTAACACGCAATACAATCAAAATTAATATCCTTGTGTTAAAAAAAAAAAATGCATATTTATTATAAATTATAATATAATTGTCACAAAAAATTGTAATGATACAAATTTATTAAATTCCGTCTAGTTTTTTTGTTACCTCGGCTGCTGGATCATTAGTCATTTTTCCAAAAAAAATTTTTTTGAATGTATCTAACCTCTCTCTACGACCAGTTTAACCGGTTGCCGTAGTATTATATACGGTGAATGAGAAAATGGTAAAACAAGATGATACACATGTAATACGTACATTTTAATTTTATTTTTATTACATTAGCTCGATTGTTGGTGAAAGCCAAGTGATAAATTAGAAAATTGTATTAACCAAATGCCGATTTCTAGATTAACTGGGCCTCCTCAAATATTAGTTTAGTAATAAATAAAAACAAATGGATATCTTGTACCCTACACATATTTTTGTATTTGCCCGAATTATTTATTGAACCCAAATATTTATTTCGGCTCTCACCTTTAAAGGAGTATCGACTTACTTTTATATTTATCGGTTTTTATAATGCATTAAAAATTGTGATAATCGTATCATTTGATTTACATCTATTATATTATAGTGTACGAGTAATAAACATTTGTAGCAAATTTAATACTATCAAATTTTACTTTCTATGTAGATCGTTTAAAAGAGTACCTACCTACATTATAGATTATAATTATTAAATCGAGCAAATTAATTACGGGTTAGGTTACGTTTTTCGACCGGAATCTCGTCGGAATTCTGACCGTTTAGCGGTCTGCCGCTCATGRGTGTTGTGCRAGAGCAAGACTATACCCGGATTATTATTTAGACCGCRGTCCTAAAACAGTCAAAGTAGAGGGCYAGCATAGAGTCYCGACAGCTGCCGTGGTTGATGGTTGATACCATATRTTATACTGTTATAGTATTATACAGAATAAAGTGAATAAACACTATTGGTATATCGGAAACAGGAAAAATATTCATGCGATTGTTTATTAACGGAATTATGAGATCGTGAAATTAATACGATATCATGTTACTGTGGATAATACGATATTTTAGAGGTAGGTACATCATGGTCCAAATATTACTATTATGTATATACCGGTAGACGACGATGACGACGACGGGATACCTCATATTATTACTATTCACGATCGAAGAGCGCGGTGGCGGGAATCGTAACATTCGTAACACCGCGGCGGCGTCGTCGGCATCGCTGTTGGCGTCTACCTGTCTGTCCAGTTTTTGCAAAACACATGCTCTTCGACGGTACATATAACGCGCACACCGTTGGCAYGGGTTCAATCGGGTCATCGGGGAACCGTGTTTTACGTCGGGTCGTTATTAAAACATAATAAATCACCGCGGCGGCTCGAATCCACGCGCGAATACGGAGACGAAGCCGTATTATAATGTTATATAATATTATATATGTACATAGCCTATGTATTATATATATAATATATAAATTATATGAAACGCGCTCGCGGTGTGCCCCCATACTATATATATATATATAATATATATACCTAATAATATATCATGGCGTACGAAATAAGTAAAATACGTTCCATTCCGGCCCTTTCGCCTTGATCCATATTGCAACGCGTCGCGCACGCCATGTATTAATCGCGATCTATCTGTATTTGTATATTATATATTTAAAATAATATCATAATATACACTGCAGGCGTACT